TCTGGCGCTGCGGGGATACGGACCGTTGAGCTGTCCACGTCAGACGAGTCCACGTGTCGCATTCTGATCGACGGCGCTCGCGTGACGTCGTACCGCGCGATGATGTGGCACGGTGCGGTGGAGGAGGTCCTGTATGCGGCGACGAACGACGATGACGTCACGACCGCTGACTTGGACATCGACGACTCGTCCAGCCCATGCAACCTGATTCGAGGGGGCCTCGTCGTCAGCTTCCCAGCCAGTGGCGCGCTGACAGCTGGCAGTGGCAGGAGGGTGCCACTTGGCGAGCTGGCAGCGCAAGGCGAGTGGGAGGTGACGTCAGCTTCAAGTGCACCTAACGGGAGCTGGTCTAAGGTGGGGCCCCGAGCAAGACAAAGGGACAGGATGGGTGTAGATGTTGTTTGGGGAGGGGAGAAGGGAGAGGTTGAAAGGGAAGAGGGAAGGGGGAAAGAGGGTAGACAAGGAAGAGGGAGAAAGGAGGTGAGGTGTCGGGGTGTGATTTATTTTGGGGTGATGGGGTCACGATGTTTTGCAAATAGAGCCGGCGAGCTCCTCACATGTCACATCGCTGTCAACTTCATCGCTTCTCTGCCCTCAGCGTCTTGTTTAGGTTGGCCCATGACCGTCGTACACACAGAGGCGGAGGTGAAAGGCCTCTGCCTTTCCTCGTGATTGCGATGGCTCTCATTCAGTCATTTTTTTTTTGATTCTTGAAGCAACGCTTCAAGAAGAAACGTCTTCAAACCGCTCCCCCCTCTCTCTTTCCTTTTCTTCTCCTCCACTCCATTCACTATCTTTTTTTACTTACTGGCTTCACATTTGCTCTGTCCTTCTCAGAAACCTTCATATCTCTCGCTCTCTCTTAGCCCATTTACCCAAGTTCTGCTCCTCGCGAATTGTCTCTTTTCGTCCCTGCAGGTTGTTCTTTCCCAATTGTTGCATCAAAATTCCCATCCTTCCTCCTCATCCTCCTCCCTCTGGTCTGGCACCGCCTCACTTGCCCTCGCCATCACTCTCACTCCCAACTCCCTCTCCTCCTCCCTCACTGTACGGAATGATGCCGCTCGCACCACCAGTGCCACCAGCAGCAGGAGCAGCGACGTCAGCGTGTCACAACCGCCCACACAAGCATCCTCACAACCCACCAGCACCCCTCAGCAGCCCTCCACTGATCTCCTCTTCGCCCCCTCTCTCGCTGCCCACCTCTCCCTCTCCACCATCAATGGAGCTCGCCTGATTGGCTGCAAAGGCGTGCGGTACTGTGGCAGTCGCAATGAACGGCGGCAGGGGAGGCAGCAGCAGGAGACGGCTGTAGGAGGAGGGCTATGGGGAATGGGAGGTTTATTCGGGCAATTGGGCAAGAAGAAACAGAGCAATGGGAAGGTGGAGAGAAGTGCTGCGTTACAAGAGGTAGGAGCAGCAATAGTAGGCACAGTAGCAGGAGGTACCAATGCAGCAGCAGCAGGGGCAGGTTCAGGGGTTAGTCCAGATGACAAGGAAATGGTAGGGCAGCTGAGGGGGCTTTGGAGGGACGTGTTGGAGGGGGGAGAGGAAGGCGTGGAGAGAGCAGACTATGCTGATATTGAGGCGCCTATAAAGCGGATGTTTGTGGACGGACCTAGCTCGGTGACACTCCTTGACAGAGTAAGTGGTGTGACTGCAAGAGGTGTGTGTGTGAGAGGGTTTTTTATTACGGTACGTTCTTGGCCAGTGTCTAGCTTCGGGCCAGGCTGCTTGATACGAGGTTGAATCAACGGGCCTGAGGCAAAATCTACTGTTCGTGTCAGACATAATTGGGGTTGGGGGGGTCTGACACCAAGTGAGCTTGACCCGAAGCTTGACACCAGCTAGGACTACACCCTGAGCTAGATTTCTTTGTGCTGAGGGAGTGCAAGCGCACGCTGGATGGTGTGGCATCTTGCAGCATCAAGGGGGTGTTAGTGGTTGAGTGGCTGGTGTGGTCATAATGTTTCCGAGTTTATTCACAGTTTTGGGGCCTTTTCCAAGCGCTGGTTTTACTTTGCTCTCGTAATCAATCTGAAGTCTCAATCTGTGGCCATTCCAATGAGTCACATGATACCTGCATCCCCTACCACTGCCTCACACACACAGTCCCTCTCAACACATCCCTCTCTCTCAGGGTCGCAGGCTGTCCTTTCGCCTCACAGCCGTCGGATTGGGAGATCTGACGGTGCACGCGGCAGATGAGACCTGTGGGTTACGAGACTGGGACGAGTTCATCTGTGTCGGCTTCTCTTGTGCCCGCCACCCGCTCAAGCTTGCTGCTGGCGAATCATGGACTGGCACTTTCACAGTTACCAACCTCGGCGCTCCCTGAATAATGAAGCATAGAACACCATATTCACCCAGATATAAGTCCCCCCCCCCCCCCCCCCCCCCCCCCCCCCCTTTTTTTTTTTTTTTCCGTCTCGGGGCTTACCGTACTTCAGTAATATAAGCAAAAGCTGTGAAAAAATACTAGCCCCTACCCAATTCGTGGAGATCCTTGCTATTGACAATCTTAAGAAAACTGTGTCTTCCGTATTATGGCGCATATATATAAATAAATATAGAAAGCCCCAAAAGCCCCACGTAATCACGTGGCTGTAATCTAACCACCATAACCTTGCTTTTCCACTCTTAAATATCGAAATCCACTATGGCGAGAACAAGGGTGTATGTCCTCGTGTGGGGGCGGGAGGGGGGGGGGTGAGTCAAACAGAGAGGGCCAGACCCGAAATGCGCTAGTAGAACTGCGAGCTGGTAAAGCACCACACGCGAAATCCGCCATAGGTAGGCTCGTGTACGTCGTGTTGTGGGATTCCAACTTTTTAGTCCAATAGTAGTCCCGTTACACACCTGCCAGTTTTCTCCTACTTCTGTTCCTAAGAAGTTGCGCTTCGCCTTTAGCGAAAGCCTCGCCACGCGGCGATGAAGGGTGCGCGCGGTCGCGAGAGCTCGCGCCTGCTGTCGCTACCCGACGAGCTTCTCCACCCCATTATCGCGCGCGTCGACCATCCGCGCGACCGCTGCAGCCTCGCTCTCTCCTGCTCCCACCTCCGCCACCTCTCCCACCGCACCACCCTCTCGCTCCGCCTCCACTTCTTCGCGAAAAATCAGGGCGTCACCGCCCGAGAATGGCTGAAGAACCTCGACGTTTATTCTGGGGTATTTACCCATGTAATTGACCTCACAGTGGAGGTTAATTGCGGCACCCTGGACCATCTTCTGGGCGGAATCGGCGCAGGGTGGCCGCGATTGGAGAGGCTGAAGCTTGTGTCGGCGCGTGCCCGCTTTCAGATCAGCCCCGCGACGTGGAGGAAGTTCGCCACGCAATGCCCGTGAGTGAGTGAGTGAGTGAGCGAGCGAGCGAGTGAGTGAGCGAGCGAGTGAGTGAGTGAGTGAGTGAGTGAGTGAGCGAGTGAGTGAGTGAGCGAGGGAGTGAGTGAGTGGTTCTGGTTCCGCACCGTGACGACTCCTCGTATATTTGATCTCCCACTTTCCTTCTCTCCTTTACTCTCTAGCAGCTTCGTGTTTTGTAAGTACTGCCCTGCGCAGAATTGTTTGTCTCTGCTACCCCGCGTCGCTTTGCTTTCCGTCGTACGATCCTCTTTCACCTTCGCCAACACGGATTCGCCACACCCTCATTCGCCACGCCCTCATTTGCCGCCGTTGTTTTCATTGCAAGTGCACCGCCGCATGTCTGTTCTCTTCGCCGCTCCCGCGCCATGACTCCGGCCCCACTCGCTTTGCCTCGCACATCCTGTCCACCTGTGTTCCCTTCACCCCTTCCTCTCCCTCCTTTCTAAGCCTTGAACCAATTCCTTCAGTGCATGGCATGGTACCACTACTAGTTCTCATGGCTCCGCCAATTACCCAACCCATGACGCCCTGCTAGGCCGGCCTAAACGGTGCTTGTTCAAAAGCAGCGGTAGCCTCTTCAACCCCTTGTGTAGGCCCGCATACGTCGCACAATCATATTCCCCTGCGCCCCTCTTTGCCCCCACCTCGTCCGCCTCCTCTCCACTGCGCATCAGCCGCATGACGTCACTGGAGCTCGAGTGCCCATATGCCTACATGGACCCTCAGCCTCCCCCACTGCACACACACCTTCCCCGCACTGCGGATGTCACACAATCATATCCCCCTCCACCCCTTTTCCCCCAATCTCTTTGCCCCCACTGCTCGCACCTGCTCTCCCCCGTGCATCAGTCGCTTGACGTCACTGGATCTCAACTGCCATTTCGCCTGCACCGACCCTTTGCCTCCCCCAGTGCACACCTTCCCCTCACTGCGCTCCCTCTCCCTCCTCTTGGTGCCCGCGCACTACCACTCCATCGCCCTCTGCTCCTCCCTCACCTCGCTCGCCCTCTGGCATCCCGACGCCTTCGCCATCCACTCCCTCGCATCCGCCTCCTCCCCCCTCCGCCGCTCCCTCACTGCCCTCACCATCCACAACGCCTGGTTGGAAACTGCCCTCACGCCCCTCGCCTCCTTCCCGCGCCTCGCTTCTCTCTCCTTCCTCTCCTGCACCATCGATCCCTGCGACCTGCACGCGCTCGCTCGCTCACTGCACACGCTCACCCATCTGACGGTCCACGACTGCCTTTTGATTCCCAGCCACTCCCTCGCAGCACTCGCTGAAAGCAACCCCGCGCTCGCCTCCCTCTCGCTGCACTCCACCTCCCACTTCCTCTTCAGCGCATGCGGCCTTGGGGATCTCTTCCTCTCCTCCTCCTCCCGCCTGCACACCCTCACTCTCTCCGGGCTGCCTTCGTACCGCCCCGGCATGCTTGCTCGCTGCAGTAGCCTGCAACGCCTGACGCTGAAAGGAAGGGAGGCGGCGAGGGGGAGTATCATGCCATCTGAGTCGCCACAGAAGCCGTCTCTGGACTGCATTGTGGCCATGCTCGTGCGCGTCGAGCAGCTGGGGGATCCTGAAGGACCGGAGGGAGGGGGCGGTGGAGTGGAGAGATGGAAAGGGGCGTTGGTTGTGGAGAATGGAGGGCGAGAAAGCACCGCTGCTTCCCATGCAGGCGGCAGCAGCAGCAGCAGCAGCAGGGGAAGAAGAAGAAGCAGAAGATGAAGTAGAGGCAATGACGGTTGAAGCAGAGGAGGGCGACGAAGCGGTATCACCTGCAGCAGCTGCCACGGCGGTGGCCGCCCGCGAAGGGATGAGGGGCAGCAGCAGCAGCAGGCGAAAGTACGTGGATTTGCGCATGGAAGCAGCAGCAGGGCGCGCTGAGTTTGTGGCAGCAATGGACAACTGGATGGCGCTCACCGAGTCATCCAAGTGGAAGCTCAAGAAGGCCGCCACAGAGGCGCTGCGCTGGCGCCACTTGCACCATGGGGTGGGGGCCCTTGACTGCATCCGCCAGGCCGTCGTTCAGGTGCGCTCCGCCATCCTGCTGTGCCGCTGCGTGCGGCTGGCTAAGGCGGAAATGAAAGGCTGCAGTGCACGCGAGGACGCACTTGCCAAGGCCTGTCGTGCTGCCGGGGCTGCAGGCATCTTCGCTGCTGCTGTGGAGGAGGAAGTGGAGGAGCTGGAGCCGGAGAGGGACGAGGAGGGGTGGGGAGTTCAATGGATTGAAGCAGACGAGGTGGTGCGATACATGCCCGAGGATGACCTGGAAGATGATCTGGCGGGCGTAAGTGAGAAGCTGCTGGCGTGGGTGGCGGTGCCGCAGGCAGAGGCACGGGAGGTGCTGCAGGCGCTGATGGAGGTGCTGCTGCTGGAGATGGAGGACTTGGGCGCCCGCTTCGAGATCAATGATCCTGCACAAACTCACCCCGCAATACTGCCCGGACTGGCAATAGTTCCCGCGCTGCCAGCAGTGCCTGGGGCAGCGGCAGGAGGGCTGGTCACCGCAGCAGCGGGAGCTGGGGCAGCGGCAGCGGTTCCTGGGCAGGCAGTGCAAGGAGCAGCAGAAGGGGAAGCAGCAGAAGGGGCAGCGGCAGAAGGGGCAGCGGCAGAAGGGGCAGCGGCAGAAGGGGCAGCGGCAGAACGGACGGCGGCAGAAGGGGCAGCGGCAGAACGGACGGCGGCAGAAGGGACAGCGGCAGAACGGACGGCGGCAGAAGGGACAGCGGCAGAACGGACGGCGGCAGAAGGGACAGCGGCAGAACGGACGGCGGCAGAAGGGACAGCGGCAGAACGGACGGCGGCAGAAGGGACAGCGGCAGAACGGACGGCGGCAGAAGGGACAGCGGCAGAACGGACGGCGGCAGAAGGGACAGCGGCAGAACGGACGGCGGCAGAAGGGACAGCGGCAGAACGGACGGCGGCAGAAGGGACAGCGGCAGAACGGACGGCGGCACAGGAGCCAAGAAGCAAAGGAGGAGAAGCAAGAGGGGCTGTAGGAGAGGACGTGAGAGCAGCAGGAGCATCAGAGCAGCTGCCAAGGGCCAAGCAGCTGGGCGACAGAAGCGCAGCCCGCCTACCTCCACAGGGGAGTGCTCCCCCCAAGAAGAGCACAGCTTCAAAGACGAGCACACTGGCGACTCCTGTGGAAGTGGTCTGCCCTCCACTGGAGTCGCTGACCCTTGACACCATTCGCTTCGTCTCCACTTGTGATCCTGACGGGCTACCCTCTCTCCCCTCTGCCTCTCCCCTAATGTGCCCCTCTCCCCCCACCACACGCTTCCCTTCCCTCCCTTCGTCGTCCTCCCCCTTTTCTACTATCCCAAGAATGAGTGGCGAGCCACGGTCCTTTGAATCGTTAGCACGAGCTGCTGTGTGTAGAAGGCTCAAGAGCTTGGCTCTCCTCAACTGCTGTGGGCTGGAGGAGGGGCAGCTGGTGCAGCTGCTGCGTGCATGCGTCATGCTGGAGGATCTAAAGGTGGAAGGCTGTGATGGCTTCTCAGACAGCGTGATAGCAGGAAGTCAAATGGAGGTGTTAACTCGGTTGAGAGTGGTGGGGTGCGGTGGAATCATGTCAGAATGAAGACTGGATGATGCATTGATGTTGGTTGGGGTACATATAGCTAACCCTAAGTTTTGTACCCCCTAAGACAAACCTCACTATAGGCTACAACATTTGACACACCCCCATAGCCTAAGTGAGGGGTGTCTAGCAGAACCAAACGAGTACGGTCACAAGACCAGTCCAAGAAATGAAGCTCAGGGTGGATCACAACGTCACCACACAGTCTGAGCACAAACAACAGTGGCCACAAGGCCAGTCCAAGAAGTAACAGAGATATATAGAAAGCAAAGTAAACAGTACACTCAAGTCTAAGCAACACGAGAACCAGTGTCAACAAGGCCTAACTGCACCAGCGTAGATCTCAGCCTCAGCTGTAGAGGTCGAGACCGAAGAGGAGCGCGTGGACCGCCAGGAAACAGCTCCAGAACCCAGGCTGAAACAGTACCCCTGAGTAGACCTGTGAGTCTCAGCAGGCGGATTTTACTGCTTACCGGAGGCAGTTTTCTGGGCAACTCTCGTCTTCATCCGAACACTTAGATTCCACCGCTTCCGAAACCGCTCCGACCACCGTTGGCTGCCCTTCCACTTCACGAGGGGGTAGAGCAGTTTCATGAACTCGTGCGACCACTCCTGCAGACGGCCGACGGAGACGGCAGTTCCCTTGCGGCGCCACTCCAGTAGATTCTCGTACACCTTCAGTTCCATGGGGCAGTACCAAGAAGACCTTCCGCGGCCATGCATGCGCTTCCGAGCGGAGTGAACTTCCTTGAGGAAGTCGGCGGCACGCTTCCACTCCGTGAGACACTTTCGGTGGATGCCGCTTTCGCGAGACAACGAGCGCACTGACACTCCCACATCCAGCCGTGCGACCCACTGCAGTTTCTCTTGCGCAGTATAAGCTTGCCGCTTATGCTGGTTGACTTTGTTCCTGGGAGAGGGGGGGCGGGCATCACAGTTCACGACACAAGGGTGAGGTCGTTTGCGGTTAACTGGAGGATAAGTTGGAATTGGGAGTTTCTCGGGGAGCCCATCGCGAGACCAGTATTCGACGCCGTCGTCGTCGGCGCCAGGTACACCCTCGGGAAACACGCCGGCCGCGGTGCCGGGCTCGGTTCTAGTCTTCGTGGCAGCCTCGGCGCCGTTGTCACCCTCGGCACGACCTTCCTCCTCGTTGTCAGCCACATTGTCGTCAGCGCCGACTGCAGATTCGTCCCACGCGCAATCTTCGGGCTGGCCCCATCGTGGTGCTGGAGCCGGAGCAGGTACGTACACATCTGGCGGCTTGTTGTTGTCCGATTTCGACAGGTACTCGTCGAAAGCCGATGGGAGCAAGAGCGTGAGCACGGGCTGATTGCCTGTGGGTTGAGGAAACGCCACAAACGGAGGAGCAGGAGGAGCAGGAGGCGCAGGAGGCTCAGGAGGCGCGGGAGGACCAGGTGGCGCAGGAGGCGCAGGAGGCTGTGGTGGCTCGGGTGGTGATGGTGGGATACGGGTATACCATCCATCAGCGTCAACTCTATACGCGGACCTACTGGTAGGCTTCTTCTTGAAAAGAAAGTGCGTGCCTGTGAATTCCGCCATGGCTTCCGCAGCCAGGCGGGCGAGAACGAGACACTGAATGGAAAACTGAAAGCACGGCTGAACAAATGAAAGATTGGAGGGGACCCCTTCGGAATAGCGACTTGGGGTCCTCGTCAATGAAGGACGGGAACCCGCCCTGCCTGAACCCGCAGAGGAGGGTTCATGGCACCAGACGTGCTGTGCTGGCAGGGCATATTCCACACCCTTCGAGAGGGTTCGGATGAACGGTCCTGCCTGGCAGCGCATGGCAACCCTATTGGGCCGCACGTCAGGTTTTGTGTCAGCGCTGGCAGGTGCGTTGTTCCGGGACGTGAAGTGTGCGGTGGGAAATCGAATCACTACGATTTTCGCTGGGATTCCGTGCATGATCCCACGTGAATGGCTCATAGTTGTGTTTGCCTTATTGCGGGCTTCATTTTGGTACCCTCACAAACCAATTTCATTTTTGACATTATAAAGGCGCCGACGCTTATGGCCGTTACTCGATTACAAGCGCAAAAAAAAAATACGAGATTTTATTATAAGCGCATATGCGCTACTATCCGGGGCCAGACGGGTAACTTGTTTGGGTTAAAAAACATGTCTCTTAAAAAAAAACTTTTTGTAAAGACTCGGGTCTTATAATATATATGCCACTTATTTAGATTCCCCCCCCCCCCCCCCCCCCCCCCCCCCCTTTTTTTTTTAAGCGATTCTGATAAGACCCCCAGGTTTTATATCCGGGGGTTTAAAGTTGTTCATTCACCAATATACAATCCCGACATAACTCCAGAACGAACTTAAAGAGGTACCGTACCCAGGGCTTATTATTGGTTTTAGAATGTCTGAGCAATCAGATCCAAACATCTCGGCAGTCATGAATTTCAGACTTGGGATTTGTTTGTTTGTTTGTTTGTTTGTTTGTTTTTTTAATAATTTTATTTTCAGACAAAAAAAACAACATTGTTTTTTTTTTTACCCATCAGACTTCGATTTTGACTTACGACTAATCACAACATTTACACAACTTCACAGTTGATTGTTTCCCTACCAAAGGAACACCGCGCCTCCAGCAATGTTAGGCACGGTCAAGGCGTTACTTATGGATGGACAGAAAGTTGATTGCACGACAAGGCATATTTACAAGGCATTTCAGACTAGTACGCAATAGTAGTCTAACAATTCAGACAAGCGGATATGAACTTGTATGGAAATCAGAGTTGCTCATATGATTTAGTCTGAAATTCAGACACAGGAAATAAGGAAGTCTGAAAATTCAGACAAAGGCGGCCTAAAAACAGGTCGGTATATAAGAAAATCAGACCGTTGGTCTGAGAAAAAAAACCTTGGCCGTTTTTTAATCATTCGGATACCCCCCCCCCCCCCCCCCCCCCCCCCCCCCCCTCGTTGTAGTCCCCCAGGCATGGCCTAAAAATTGGTTTTGGCTCACCTTGTCTAATCAGTGTTCTAGGCTGGGCTAGCCCTGATTCCTAAGGTGAAAATTTTTGTGCACTGATGAAAATAGGGTAAGGAAAAATTACCCGCTGATTTAGTCAGTGTACCAGGGTCCCATACATTCATACGTGTTAAATCTCCTTGTGTACGTCCATAGCAAGTCAAAGTGGCTCAGCTAGTTAGATGTGTTTCTACGAACAGTAAGGGCGTGTAACAATTTTTTCCCCCTTTTTTTTGCAAACGATCCTAATATTTTGAAACGGACGGTCCTATTAGCGAAAACAGGACCGTCCGATTTGACGTTTCGCAACCTTGCCTCGTCTGGATGAACAAGTGACACTTTTTGCTTGTTGATTTTTGTGATAATGTAGCCTCGTCAGAGGCACTGTAGCGTCGTTACACAATTCACGACATATTCGCTGCAAAATTCGTGCGCCAATATGAATTTCATGTATTCAGAAAATTTCGTGCATCAATCTCTGTCAAAACTAATTTATATGTATGTATTTAGGGTTATGTACTTGATCTCATGCCTTGCTAGTGAACTCATTTTTCCTGCTCGTTAGATTCTGACATGGTATCAGAGCAGGTCCGTCACTAGGACCGTCTTCTTTTTTCCGGGCCCACCGTTAGCTAGTCACCAATTGCGGTTACCGCGCGCCCTATCATACGTGCTGCCCCACCCGCTCCTGCTGCCATCTTTTCGCACGCGCCACAGCTGCCCCGCGTAGTGCACATGCCCCTGCTGCCCGTCGCGCCGCGCACCCCTGCTCCCCGTCGCGTCGCGCGCCCCTGCTGCCCGTCGCGTACCCTGTGCGCCCTGCCCCAGCCCGTCGCGTCGCCCGTGCGCCCTGCCCCAGCCCGTCGCGTCACCGGTGCGCCCTGCCCTAGCCCGTCACGTAGCCCGTGCACCCTGCCCCAGCCCGTCGCGTCGCCCGTGCACCCTGCCCCAGCCCGTCGCGTCGCCCGTGCGCCCTGCCCTAGCCCGTTGCGTCGCCCGTGCGCCCTGCCCCAGCCCGTCGCGTCGCCCGCGCGCCCTGCCCTAGCCCGTCGCGTCGTCCGTATGCCCTGCCCTGCGTCGTGCCGCCCGCGCACGCCCTGCCCTGCCATGCGTTGCGCCGCCCCGGGCTAATCCTGCCCTGCGTCGCGCCGCCAGCGCACGCCCTGCCCTGCCCTGCATTGCGTCTGCCGCGCACGCCCTAACCTGCCCTGTGTTGCGCCTCTTCGCGCAAGCCCTGCCCTGCGTCGTGCCGCACGCGCACGCCCTGCCCTGCCCTGCGTCGCACCGCACGCGCACGCCCTGCCCTGCCCTGCGTTGCGCCGCCCCGCGCACGCCCTGCCCTGCGTCGCGCCGCCCGCGCACGCCCTGCCCTGCCCTGCATCACGTCTGCCGCACACGCCCTAACCTGCCCTGTGTTGCGCCTCCCCGCGCAAGCCCTGCCCTGCGTCGCGCCGCACGCGCACGCCCTGCCCTGCCCTGCGTCGCACCGCACGCGCACGCCCTGCCCTGCCCTGCGTTGCGCCGCCCCGCGCACGCCCTGCCCTGCGTCGCGCCGCCCGCGCATGCCCTGCTCTGCCCTGCGTCGCGCAGCCCGCGCACGCCCAGCTCTGCCCTGCGTCGCACCGCCCCACGCACGCCCTGCCCTGCGTCGCACCGCCCGCGCACACCTGGCCCTGCCCCGCGTCGCGCCGCCCCGCGCACGCCCTGCCCTGCGTCGCGCCACCGCGCTGCCCTGCCCCGCACGCCACCACGTCGTCTTGCCCAGTGCACCGTGCGTCCCCTGCTGCTACTCGCACCCCGTGCACCCCTCCCTTGTCTGCTCTTACAGCGGCCAACTACTGCCACTGCTCCTACCGTTCCAGCTGCCACCGCTGCGGTCGCTTCTTCAGCTCTTGCGCCGCTGCTACTGACTGTCGCTTTCTGTCATGGCCACTATCATAGTATTAGCAGACTCTGGGGGAGGGCACCAACAGCAGCGTCGGCCGGAGACTCTTTCGCCGCA